ATGTTTTTAGAACACTTGATTGATTCCATACCAAAGCTCAGATCCACCATGTTTCCTCAAGCAAAAGTTGACCTGCCATTGAATCTTCAAAATTTTGTTTACTGCTAAGAATCCATTCTGAAGTAGATTTTATCATCAGAGTTGCAGTAAGATCCATTGGCGTTTAGCTGTATGATGTTTTGTAATGTAATGAGGCATTTAGTTATTTGTTTAAAAGCCAGAATGAGTAAGTTGAAAACTGACTATTACAGATGAAATGAATTGTACATATTCGACCAGTGAAAATTCTAACTTAATTCTATATTCTAAAAAACTTGTTTTCTAAAAATAATTATTAAGTGTGCTTAAATTATAGTAATAAGGTCAGAAACAAAAATCTGTTTCTCGTTTCATTGAGGCAATTTTTTTTTTAATACTGAGCTAAAATGGGGAAAATTTGAGACAAGTGGGAGTACGAGCGCATTTTAGAATGCTTTGGAAGAAAAAAAACAAAACAAAAATGTCTGAGGTGCATAGTTCAAATGATGCGCGCAGAAACGAGAAACAGATATTTTTTTTCTCAGCCTAAGGTAATTACGTTTGTTGAGGAATGGCTAGATATCAGAAAAATATACATGTATATATATCCATGCAGAGCCATCTGAGGTCATTGACTTGATGTAGTGAATGTTTCTGTGCGCCATGCATGTTTTCTGTGATATTTCTGAAGTACAAGGAAAAACTATTCAGTGTTCTCCCCAGGCTCAGAGGCAAGCATGGCGGTCTAATTTGCATGCTAATTTGCATACTAATTTGCATATTTTTCAGGATTCACTCTCACAAAAACAAACATACAAGACAGTATTAAAATGTATGAGAGACTTTATTTAAATTACATAATACTTTACATAATATACCATAATTTGACAAGATCGTCATTTAATGTGAACTGTTCCATAAAACTTAGTCTAAACTAATCCTTCTGACTTTGTTGTGCTCCAAACATTGGCTGCCTTACTGTAGTTAAACTCGATCGTCATAGACTTGCACGGGACTTTGTTCCATAAAGAAGATCCACTCTTTGCAATCATGTTGTGCTTTGAGCATTACTGCACAACATTCCTAGTGGGAAAAAATGATATATAATAAAA